TGAGAGCAAATACCTTACTTAGGAAGTTTAAGCATTGTAGTACTAATGTTAAATTATATGTATTTCGCATGTTCTGTACCAATATGCATTGCTCATAGTTATGGTCATTATACCATTGTAAATGTGTTGATGCAACAACGCATTTCGTATCCGATGACAAAGGTGCCTGCCTGTGAATGACTAAAACTACAACAACTAATTGATTCTTTTGATTTGTCAGATGACTTGCCAGGTTCAAGTTGGCCTAGGTCAAGGAAAGTTATTATTATGTTACCTTCACGTCGGACAAAGGTCGCATTGTACGAACACGCTAGTAGAAAAAAAAAGAACGAGACAATATACTGGTCCAAATTGAACCACGCAGATTCCCTCTTGACGTAATATCGCCCGGTTGTCAAGTATCACTACCATTGGGAATACCAGATTTCACAGCATTTGACAACTACCGTATTTGATAGTATCACTTTTATGTGTAACGATATGTTCTGTGAATCTCCTTATTCGGATCGTGTTTTGCAGTTCAAGAAAACAAGCGATCACGGTGTTTTCGCCTTGAACACGCGAGCGTGACCATGTCCTCATTGATTCACACATCCTATACCATTAATCCTTTATAATTCTACAATTATTTTTTATTGACACAAGGTGGTTAAAATTCGTCGCACTTTGATTGATCACGAGAAAGCACGGAGATCGTTATCATTTGTCTGTATGTTCGTTATTTGTTTCTCTTTCGAATCAAAACTGTTTTTCGCTTATTTCTACCGTCGTGCGTTTTCATTTCACTAAGAATTAGGTTTTATTTTTTTTTATTTCTACTACCCACGCAAAAAATATATCATCCTGAACAAAAATGGAACGTTCCATTTGAATACTAGAATATGATCTGCATAATACGACGTGTAAATCTAAAAGTACACAACATTCAGTCATACAGGGACTTTCGGTCTATTGAAAACAACATTAAGAACGCTCATTAAATGTAATATATTGCGATATGACACGAATACAGATAGAGACGATAGGACAATGGAGCGATTGCATATAATAAACATCGCAATTAGCTGCAATTAAAAAACGGTACAAACTTTCGGCCTATTGCAAACAACATTAAGGACGCTCATTAAATGTAATACATTGCGATATGAACACGAATACAGATAGAGACAATGTATTCAATGGACCGATCGCCATTGATAAAAAGCGCAATTAGTTGGAATGAACAACAGTTTCATATCTGCAAAGTATGCGTGTTTACTGTCACTCATAAACTTGTGATGCATGAATTATAAGTCGTTTACAAGCAATATTCAACATCCTCATTAATGTAATTTATTGCGACTTGAACAGGAATACAGCTAGAGACAACACAGTCAGTGAAGCGGGAGAAAGGTCATGAAAAAAAGCACACAATTAGCTGTGATGAAAAACATGTCAACGATTGCTATTTTTCTACTGCAATAGCTCCACAAAATAATAAATACATCCTATATCAAGGGTCAATGATTTGCTATTTGTCTACATATAATTCTGCATAGTTCCCGGTTGCCAACGTTCAGCCGTATGGTACCCTCTAACGACACCATCATACAGCTGAATACATGGCCAGCATACCTGCATATGAGCTTATTAGTTGTACAAGTACATGAGAAATTTAAGGCTTGTGTTGGGGTTTATCACGAAAGCTTTGTTTTCCTTCCACGGGAATGTAATTTCTTCAGTTCAGAAAAAAATAAATATTTTACACCACGTGGCGCCAGCTATGGCAAACAAAGCTGAAGCACGCATCATACGGAATTGAAGCTTCACAGGTGGATTCTTATTTTATTTCTACCATTGTCTTTCAGTTCATGCTATAAAGACATTATTGTATAGTTAGAGATAGTTTCAAAACAGTCCAAATACAAACTCTTAAACAACAATTCTACATTGCAATAAAACTGTACATCAAACACTGAATACAAAACTGTGCGAATGCACGCCATTGGATGAGATTTACATAAAGCGGAATAATTATAAGTTGGAAATGAGAAAAACTGAGGGGAAGTATAGTTATTTGCTCGGTTTTGTTATATTGAAATTACGCACATCCGGGTATATTTTCCTTCGTTCATTATGAGAACGTACGTCGATATTGAATGGTGTGAACGTATTGCAGAAAGTTAATGAGCTGTTTAATTTTTAAAGTCACTGTGGATGCCATTATTACGTAACGACTACTTACTGTGAAGGTAATTTTTAAGACATGTAACGTCACGTCTACTTACTGTGAAGGTGATTATTACGACATGTAACGTCACGACTACTTACTGTGAAGGTGATTATTACGACATGTAAAGTCACGAATACTTAAAAGGTATGTCGTTGTCTCGTGGTAGAGGACCGATCTGTATGTGGTCTACTTCAGGGAAACGCTTTGTTCGAAAATTGGGCAAGCAGTTATGGATTTATCTTGCATGTTGCGTCTACAAGTTTGGCAGAATATCATTGACGACTTGCTTTTTTACTGGAGGGGGAAATAACTAAAATTGTTTTCGCTTTCTACGGGTTTTGTACATCAAGAGAACTTTCAAATTGTTGTGTATTTCCATCGTTTTATTCATTACCGCTTCACACCGAACCAATTCTGTCATCGGATCGCTTATTTGAAATAAAGGATGTGTTTCAAGAGCGGGTCAAAACCTTTCACCAGTATTGAAGTATGTTACATT